ATTCATGCCGTGGGTCTTATTTCTCTAGGGTATATACCAGGTAAAGGGATTGCTGGGTGAGCTGGCATATCTATTTCCAGCCTTTTGAGGATGTTTGCTTACGTTTGCCACAGTGATTGTACCAGTTTACAGTCCCACCACAAGTGTATGAGGGTTCTAGTCTCTGAACCCTCACCAACATTTGTTGTTTTCTTTTTTTTTTAACTTTGCTGGAATGTCTTCTTTGATGAAGTGCTGTGCATGCCCTCTGCCCATTAAACAGGGTTTAATTGGCATATACATTACAAATAATTCAATTTAATTGTTCAATCCTATTAAGATTTGGGCAATCATCACCACAATCCATTTCAGAATTCTCTCTTCTCATACTACTTGTTAGCTCCCCATTCCCCACCATTCTTCCCTGTCATACCCCTATCCAGTCATGGTTCCTATCGATTGACCTATCTTGGACTTCACATACAGAAAATTATAAAAAACAAAACACATCATACAAAAATCACACACAAGCAAGCAAACAAAAACCCAACAACAATGACTAGACAAAACATAGAAAATCCTCAATCAATAAGGAAGTAGAAAATATTAACAAAGGAAACAACTTTAAAATGGGTCAAAAGGGAAATCAAATGAAAATTATTATATTGTAACCAAACTGCATCTACCGTAATTGACTTTACAATGCTCTCTGTCTGGTAGCAAGGCTATTCACATCCTTTAACTATGGTCAGAGGGGATTCACTGGAGGCTTAATCCATGTGGGGACCTTGTAAATAGATTTTGGGCTTCCAATGTCATCCATCCCAAACTCCCAACTCCAAACTCACTGCCATTGAGTCGATGCCAACTCATAGCGACCCTATTTGGCACATGGCTAGAACTGCCCCTGTGAGTTTCTGAGTCTGTAACTGTTAACGGCAATGGAAAGTCCCATCTTTCTCCCTAAGAGCTGTCTGGTGGTTTCAAACTGGTGATCTCAGTCCAGTGTGTAACCACTATGCCACCAGGAGTCCTACGGTCATTCATAGCCTTCTGCAAACCGGGTGTTCACATTTAAGCTCTGATACCCTTCCCACCTTCAGCTTTGAGTTTTGCTATTTACAACCCTTGGATCGTACAGGCTGGTTTGTTTCTTCCATGTGGACTTAGTTGATGCTTTATTTAGAGGCTGCTTGTAATAAGACAAGCCTTTAAGATCCTACACGCTATTCTTTCTGATAGCTAGGCACCATCTGATTTCTTCACCAAACTCTGTTATCGCACCCATAACTTCAATGATCTCTTCATGAGGGCAAGCATTGAGCAGGGTCATGTCATAAGACCTAGTTGTTCTTAGATTGGGGCGAGAATTAAGTGGGAGTCCAAAATCCATTCATATATCTATAGTTTTTGTGTTAGTCTGGGTTGACTAGAGAAACAAATTCATAGACACTCATATGTGTATAAGAAAGAGCTTTATATACAAGAGCAATAGACTATTGAGAAAACATCCCAGCCCAGTCCAGATCAAGTCCATAAGTTCAATATTAGCCCATGTATCTGATACCAATCTATACATTCCTCTTCAGACTCATGCAACACATGCAATGGTGCCGAATGCAGGAAGATCACAGGCCAGTGAGTGGAAAAACTTGTAGGTCCAGTGGCGGTATAAGCGTCTTAGCACTGGTAGGGGTCTTTACGTGGCTCTTCCAGTGATGCCTCTGACTTGTTTTGGTAGCGGGATTATGCTGGAGTCATAAAATTATTTTGAGAACTTTCCATCTTTTTCTAAATTCTTCACTAGTTTGGTGTCAGCTCTTCTCTGAATGTTTGGTAGAAATCATCAATAAAACCATCTGGGCCCACACTTTTTTGTTGGGAGCCTTTTTAAATGACGATCAATTTCTTCTTTTTTTTATGTGTCTGGTCTGGTCAGATTTTCTATTTCAGTCTGTGTTAGTTCAGGTAAGTAGCATATTTCTAGAAAGTTGTCCGTTTCTCTAGGTTCCCAAATTTGTTGGGGCATAGTTCTTCATAGTATTCTCTAATTATCTTTTTTAGTTGTTTCAGTTTTAATGGTGCCTATTTAATTTCTGTTATTTGCATCTTCTTTGTTAGATTTGCCAGTGATGTGCTAATTTTGGTAATTCTTTCAAAGAGTCAACTTTTTGTCATGTTTTTTCCTATTTTGTCACATTTATTTCTGCTATAATTTCTACTATCTATTTTCTTCTCTTGACTATAAACTTATTTTGCTGCTCTTAGTCTAATCGTTGGAGATGTTGTATTGAGGTGTTGATTTTGGTTCTTTCTTCTTTTCCTATATATGTGTTCTTTGGTGTATTTTGCCCTCTGAGCACTGCTTGTGCTGCAAACCAAAAGTTTTGGTATGCTTCATTTTCATTCTCATTTAATGCAGGTAATTCCTTAATTTATTTTATTATTTCTCCTACTGTAGAATAGTTAAGCAGGGTTTAATCAATTTTTATGCATTTGATTTTTCTGTCGTTGCTTTCTAATTTTATAGTGTTGTGATGTAATTAGAGAAGACGCTTGGTGGTATCTCAATGCTTTAAATTTTATTGAGGCTAACTTTGTGGCCTAACACATGCTCTATACTGTAAAATATTCCAGGTGCTCTGGAAAAGAATGTATATTGTGCTGTTGTAGGGTAATGTGTTCTGTAAATGTTTATGAGGTCACATTGGCCTTCATGAAGAGATTGCTGAAGATAGGGGTGCTATAGCAACACGTGAAGAAATCAGATGGTGTCCAGCTACCAGAAAGAATAGTGTCTAGGGTCTTAAAGGCTTGCCTTCTGAGAAGCAGCCATCTAAGTGAGGTGTCAACTAAATCCACATGGAAGAAGCACACAGCCTGTGTGATCCAAGGATTATAAATCATAAAGTCCAAATCTAGAGATTGTATTTGTTGTGAGGTGCCATTGAGTTGTTTCCGACCCATAGTGACCTTATGCACAACAGAATGAAACATTTCCTGGTCCTGAGCCATTCTCACTATTCTTGAGTCCATTGTTGCAGCCACTGAGCCAATCCATCTTCTTGAGGGCCTTCCTTCCTGTCGTTTACCAGATTTCCCACTGGTTACTTTTCTTCCCATTTTACCAGATCCAGAGGAAATAGTATTAGAACTTAAGTTCTGAACAACCAGTTTGAAGAAGGCCAAGGATGACCCTGTAAGTCTCAAATCCATTTGCACTGTTCTCTTGTGGACTAAGCCTCCAGTAAATTCCCTGAGACCATAATCCAAGGAGGTGAACAGCTTTGATAGCAGACAGTGTGCACTGTAAAGTGGATTATTACAGATGTAGTTTGGTTAAAATGTAACACCTTACATAATTTGATATCCCTTTTGACCATTTTAAATTCATTCCAGTTTTTAATATTTTTTGTGTTCTTTTCAATTGAGGTTTTTTTCTCGGTTTCATTTAGTCATTATTGTTTTTTGTTTTGTTTTGTCTGTTTTCCTGTGTATGAAATCCAGGATATTTATATTAGTCCAGTGACTGGACTAATAATTTCTGACGGACGTGGCAGGGAAGGTTGGATGGAAATGAGGTAAGAGAATGTTCTAAAATTGATTGTAATGATGATTGGACAACTCTTAATATGATTGAACTATTGAATTATATGATATGTGAATCATGTCAATAAAACTATTAAAATGTCTGTGAGGTCAAATTGATTGTATTGTTTAGTTCTTCTTTGTCTTTGTTGAGTTTCCTTCTAGTTCTATTTTTCACTGAGGTGATATACTAATTTTGTTGTAAGTTGTTTCCCTCTCCAATTTTGTATTTTTAGGCTAAGTATGATTATTGATCTATGTAGCTATGTACATGGACCATATGGAAAATGTGGAGTGCATACTTAAAACATAGTTTTAGCTCCTTAATGTTCTTAGGTTCTGAGTATCCAGAACCTATATTCCTTTCAAGTTGCTGCTGAATTCTCACTTTTCTCTCTCACTAGTAGACACTGGGTGGTGCTGTTGTCCCAAAATTCTGCTCTATCATGGCTTTATTACCTCAATTAACCAGAACCACAACCACTGCCATCTAGTCAATTCCGATTTAGAGACCCTATAGGACACAAAGTAAAACTGCCCCATAGTGTGTCCAAGAAGCCTTGGTGATACAGTGTGTTAAGCTTTGGGCTGCTAACAGAAAGGCTGGTGATTCAAACCCACCAGCTGCTTCATGGAGAAAAATGAGGCTGTTTGCTCTCATAAAGATTTACAGTCTCAGAAACCCTATGGAGCAGTTCTACTCTGTATTTATAGGGGCCTTGTGAGTCAGAATCCACTAAATAGCAATGGGTTTGGTTTCATCTCTATGGAAGCAAACTGTCACGTCTTTCTTCTACTGAGTAGTTGGTAGGTTCGAACCTCTGATATTTCAATTAGTAACGACCTGGACAAACATCAGAACACACAACTCTAAGCATCAATTCCAAATCACAGCTTGGTCCTTCGGTCATTAACCGGATTCAACTTGGATCTCGGATTTTGCAGACACCCCAAGGTACTTGGGCAAAAATGTCTCTTGTTTATTGTAGAAGTTACTGTTATCATGGGAGAAAAACGGGGAATTTGAGTCTTGTAAAGGGTTATAGCCTCAGAAACTCACAGGGCAGTCCCATCCTGTCCTGTAGGGTCACTATGATAGTGACCAGTGACTATTATTATGCAGGAGTGAATGTACTTAGGATGAAGGCAAAGCGAATCCTCAAGACTAAAGCAGGCAGGGAAGGGGGAAGGGAGCAGGGTCTTGGCCAATCAGAAGGCTGGAGCAGGGTCTGGAAAAGGGGGTTCTGACTGTTGCAGGGGCTGAGCCTATAAGTAAGGAAGGGAGTTTGAGGGCTGAGAACCTCAAAGCTAAAAACGAAGGGAGGGGCGAGGAAGGGAGCCTGTGATCCCTTGACCAATCAGAGAAGAGTAGGGCGGGGCCTTCTACTGTTTTATAATTGCGGGGTTCTGCGCGGGAACACTAACCTCGCCCTGAGTGAAATCCTGTGTCAAGCCTGAGGTTATCCTTTAGCGGATCTTCAAACCTTCAGGTGAGGACCTGGGGCCTGTTGGGAGCCTGAGGACAAAGGGGACCGGAAGGTGTGGGGGCTGTAAGGTGGGGCGTGCAGGGGGCTTTAGGAAGTTGGAGGGGCCGGGGTTGGGGCTGGCGTTTAGTGTCTGCGACGCTGGGCGAGTCAGTGCCTTTGTCTTCCAAGGCAGCCCTTCTGCCTGGTGCTGAGTCCTCCTGCGGGGGTAGGAGGCTTGGGGGGGGTGGGGGGGTGGATTCCGAGGTAAATGCGCTTCCTGGGCCGCTCCCAAGTGGCTAGGCGCCCAGTTTTCCTATTATTATTTATATGTTGATTCTTCTAATTTTGGAGATTGGTGTCTGCTAGCTGAGCACAAGAGGTTTTAGGGTGGCCTCGACTGGAGGAAGTCGTATACAGGACTCTGGGCTGATTGGGGGCCTATCCATTTGCCTCTGGGTATTTAGATGGGTCTCAGCCCACCAGGGTGGGGCCAGATACTGGAGAGCTCTGTTTCCCAGTTCCTGGAATCTCCCATTGTCTGTTCTGGATAACTCAAATGTTTCTAGGGCCCAGGCATTCTATCATGTTGGTAGCAGTGAAAGAAGATTCAACCCTTCTTTGGTTTATCCTATTCTGCTCAAATCATGGACCTTATTACTTGCCCCTTTTCTTAAAGTGTTTATATATTGGAACCACCAGGAGATGCCTTAAGACAAGTAATTAGTTATGACTGGATTAAATCCCCTCCCTCTTTACTCCTTTACTGTAGCTCCTTAAATCTACTACCTTTGAGCAGGTAAAATGGCCAGAAACTAGTACAACTTATGCCATGCTATTGAGGGCTGCTCGAGCTCCCCAAGTGAAAACATCAAGAAAAATGAATAGAAAACAAAGGTGGGCAAATCCTGCTATCTTCTGTTACAAAACCATTTGCTGCTTAAAGTCAGTCCCCATTTTTCTTCTATCCCTGTCTCTTCTGTGCTTCTCTCACCTCCATTTCACCTTTGCTGTGGTTTTAAAGGAGTCGGACATATTGGTTCCTGGATTCTAGTGTATCTTGCTCCAGAAAGCATTTACTGCTTCTTATCAGAAGTGGAGTAGTGATATGGAACTGAAAATATTTGAATTTTTAAAATGGTCGTCCTAAGATTTGTTGCTGGTTTTCCATTAACAATCATCGAGCAAAATACACATTGCTACTCAGTGGCTGTGGTAATAGTTGGTTCTGATAATAATTTCACTCTAATTATAATTCTGTAATATGTGCATTTGTTGTTGCTACTACTCTAGGCAAGATGAGTGATAAGCCAGATTTGTCCGAAGTGGAGAAGTTTGACAAGTCAAAACTGAAGAAAACTAATACTGAAGAAAAAAATACTCTCCCCTCGAAGGAAAGTAAGTCTTGGGGGAATTCTAGTGTGAATAAAAGATGGTAAAAGTTGATAGACTCAGTAAATAAAATCTTCTATGTCTTGGTAAGTACAATTTCCCACAAAGTAAGTAAGATTAAATTTTGGGGACACTCAGAGCTCCCACACACCAGGGATTGATTTTGCTCTTTGCAGGTACAGGCTGTTGGTGAAACTTTTAAATAGATCCACAAAAGATTAAGGGTACTTTTGGACATATCACCATTATTGGAGAGAGTTCCAAAGTCAATGAAAATCATCTGAAAGGGTATATTTTCCTACAATGTGTAGTGATCAAGAAATGGAAGAAAATGCTTTAGTTATTTCTCAATCTCAGAATAATAGATGGGAAAATAATGGCAACAGTGTAAATTTACCTTTCAGATGGAAAAAGAAAAATGAAGTAGATGCAGATTCAGTGAATGTTTACGTAGTTAATATACACGCCAGCACTCACATGTATATGCCTACTGTGAGGATTTGGGGTCAAATGCCTTGTTCTGACTTTAAAGCATATATAACAACCTTATATGGCTTGGCAAAGGGTTCTTTGGAAAGAAATTAGATTTAATATTAGGGAAATCCCCTCTTAATGAATTTTTGTTTTTCTTTCTTTTTTTTTTTGCAGCTATCCAACAGGAGAAAGAATGTGTGCAAACATCATAAAACGAGGATGTCCTCCGGGGAGCAAATTGCAACATTGCTTAAGTGTTGTCTTAGTTTTCCAGGCTTCATTTTGTAAACCTATGTGTTTGTAGAGATTTTAGGAATTGTCTGATATTGTCTCCATATTCTCTGGTTGAGGGCACAAGTAGCCAATGGTCCATCATCATTGTTTGAAAACTTCTTATTGGTGTGTCAATCTCACATGGCCCATGCTATCAATGATCCACCATGTAAGAGCTTTGCGTGTGTGGTTCTTGCCTTCCCTACAGGATATACCATTTTCAACCTCCAATAGGTACCTCCATTACTCAAAAATCTCCATGACATTGCATGCTTTTCCTGCTTCTCACAATTTATTTTCATTGCTAATATAGCAATAAAATAAAAAATATAATCATTATCTTGAGACTCTTGTGACTCATTCTGATTAAAATGTAAGTATGTAAGGGCATTCTTTTAAACCAAACAAAATGGTTGAGATAAAGCTGCTTTAACGATTGACATGAGAAATACTCTTCCCTGTCCAGTTCAGTAAGGAGCACTGGTGTTGCTGTCAGGTACACATTGGACTGCTAATCAAATGTCAGTGATTCAAACCCACCAGCTGCTTCATGGGAGAAAGACGAGGCTGTCTGCTCCCATAAAGATTTACAGCCTCAAAGCACTGGGGGAGTGCAGCGGAACAGCAAGGGAATGGAGCAGCAAGGTCCCCAGTGAATGCTAAAGGTGGACTTTGGGGTCAGGGCATGGTGCCCCAACAGACTGGACTGGAAAACACTCCTAAAGGCCAGCGATCCTTGAACTAACTACAAACTTTTCTTTCTTGGTGTGTTTTAATTTGTTCTTTGTCAGTGGTTTGTTGTTGTT